AGTAATGGTTGTAGAAATATCCTTAATATATTGGTAATTTAAATCGGAACATTGAGTATTTATTTCTGAATTTGTCGTGAATTGATCTACTTCTAAAATTTTATCATTACGAACATAAAAATTCCACAGTAATTTAACTCTTATCGCTTCCCTAATACATTTATCTTGATATAATAATATGCTATCAAATTCACTTCCGTGTTTAGCGGGACACCGGAGATCGATAAAATCCATGTTATTTCCGCAAAGTGATAAAAACAGATTAAACAAAGTTAAGTCAATCGGGTCATTAGTTTGATGTTCATGTATATACAGAAGTACTTCCGGTACATCACCGCATAATTTTTTAAATGGACTAAACACAATTTGATCGATTTGGTCCTTGTTTAATTGGTACATGGTTTTATTAGAACTTTGAAGCATAAATATAAAATACTCTTCAAGCCTTTGGAGGGAATAGATTAGTAAATTTTTTAACTCGTCAGATGTTGTTCTAAACTTAGTTAAATTCAGTGGTGCACATTTATTTGTTTCAATGTCTTTAGAATACTTTAGACTATGTTTTTTAAATGATTTTTCTAAATTCATTGTATCGCATATTGTTTGACGATTAAGTCGTTCTACTTTCTGTGTTGGCGTCTGTTTAAAAATATCGTAACGGGCACTATCGTTAGAAAATGTTTCCGTCCAATCAATATCACTCATGAGTTCGTATTCAGATAACACAAATTTTGTAGCATTACTATGGTATACCGTGTTTTTTTGGTACTTAAGGGATTCTTCTTCAGTAATTTGTTCAAAATATATAATTTCTCTTAACACAATATGTAACTTTTCTACATTGCAACTGATAGTTATTTCGTCATCGGTGACTTTCGATTGTTTACAATGTTCTCTAAAAAATTGTTGTATTGTTCTACAAAGCAAGCTATGCGATTTGTACATATTGAACAGTTTTTTATCTCTATATAATCCGCTAACGTACAAATAATCTATACTTCGTACAATATGTAAACATATATTTTCCACATAGTCTTTTCGTATTCGTAATTCATATACCCTGCTTGAATTGGTTTCTAATCCTTTACATAAATCATTTACTTTTGTCTCAGTAGGAAGTACCGATAAATAATATTTACTGAATTGGTCAAGTATAAGACATATACTGTCTTCGAACGCTTTTATCGTAGAGTAATCGCGAATTTCATAAGAATGTTTACTTACCAAATTCATATCGTAAAATGTTTTTACAATATTTTCATGATCCTTTTGTTTTGATATTATTAATGCCCTTTCTGGATTTCCATTTAAGACTAGAAGTATTTGTACCGAGATTATAAGTGTACGAAATATCATCATAAATTTTTCAACAACCAAAAACCAAGTTGAGACTAAATATTATACTGAGAAGAAATTGTGCACAATAGTTAACTACTATTATCGAGTAGGTGTTGCAATTAATTATCGTTGCTCACACCTGGTAGTTCTTGTTTAAATAATGTACAATTTATTTTAAAAAAATATCCTACGTAGTATAATCTGTGACCTATTTACATATTGCTTTAAAATTAATGTAATCAAAAATGTATCAGATCGATTTAACGTCCAAAAGTTTATAAAAACGTAATATTCCGAGTATTTTGGGTTTCGATTTCTAATTTATGTGTGACATGATTTTTAAGACTTCCAAAAATATTAAACAATTTTAAATGAAGGTTACGGGATATATTTCTATATATTTTAAGCCCAGGGAAATAATTTAAAATTAAAAGGTATCAAAAGAATGATTTACTTAATTTCGCTCAGATTTCTTAGAATAGGATTTAATTATACACAGCTTTACTGATACGTTACATAGGTATATATTTATAATCTTGGTATAGTACGATAATTTTATTTCCCATTAGTAATAGAAAATGGGACAATTCTTAAAGTATTACCAATCTTCATCTTCTTCATCAGTTTTTTTAAAGGCCATTGAGTCCCATTACCGCAACACAAACTTGCTTCCATTTGTCTCTCTCCTGTGCTATTGTTTCTACATCTCGTATTCCAATCTCTGCTAAATTCTTCTTCACCTTGTCAATCCACCATTGTTTCGGCCTGCCAAGTGGTCTTGTCTCCCCTAGGGTTTCCATTCGAAAACCTCTTTCTTAAGACCATTTGACCTCCATACATGTTCGGCCCATGACATTCTCCTATATTTCAATACTGCTACTATTTGTGGCTCTTTATATAATTGTTGTATTTCTATATTATTTTTTTTCTCATATTGTCGTGTCGTGTTATTTATTTTTGGCTCAAATATTCTTCTTAATATTCTTGGACTAAATTTTATTATTGTCAACAAATTCATTTAACGCATTTATAGATTTACTTGATTGGTTTGAAAATTTAATATAGGTCGAATAAACAGTCATACAAGTTTAAAAACTGTACAGTATTTTCCGGAAATTTTAAATAAATATGAACTTGTATTGATTA